ATTGAAGTTATCAAAGGTCATATATGGCATTGATATATATATATATATATATATATATATACGAACTATTCTAAATGAGATTTCAAACAACGTGTTAGATGAGAAGAAGCACCTCATTCTTACATATACCATACCCACGTGCACGTGAAATTCCCAATGTTAAGAGGGGAAAAAAACAAAACAAAGATAAACAATACAGGAAAGAGGCACGGACTAACAACATTCAAGGGTGCTCAGCATCCCCGATTAACATCTCTAACTAATCAACTGATATGCTAGCTGTCGAATGTAATAATATAAACAAGGCAGAATGCCCAATTCGCACTAGCACTCGTCTTTTATTCTAGGCAAGTACTACTACTAAGAAGCCAGAATTGTAACTACTAAGAAGAATACCTGCACGACCCTTTGCAGAAGATGCATGCCAGTAATTGAGCTTCAAATCCACCCACTATTAGCACATATATCTATCATCGCCTGGATGATTCGCATACTTTGATCCATTACTGACTTCAAGTCTGTGACGTAATCACTGATTGGTAATTCTAACTGCGAGAAATGTGCTTGAATGCAGAATTCATGCATGGTTAGAGAATAAAACGACGAGAGAACTAAAAAGCAAAACGACATGAAGTTTTTATTCGAAAAACATATAGTTGAAGACAACTCTGACCTGAAATAGCAGATTGGATTTGACATGTGGATCATCTAAGCGGTCCTTAAGCTGGATTAAACATCTGTAGAAAACTACGCTCATGTAAGATTTTGTAAAGGCTCAATAAATCAAATACTAAGGGCACATTTAAAGGCTTTTAACTTGTGTCTTCACCACATTTAAGTACAAGAGGATCATTGTCACAGCAGCAATGCAAATGATGGGCGTTCTGAACTTTAACAGCAAAAAAAAGATAGGTGTAGAGTATTGAAAAAATAAAAAGGAAAATGGTTTATTGATTAGATTTAGGACTGCAAGACTTCATCCATTGACTTTATTTGGTTTTCTGATATTCAAAACCCCAAACAACCTGATTCCTAGTATTTGAGGCAAATATTCAGAAAGTAATATGATTCGTGTTTATTGATTGTTAGGCGCGGGCGGATTGTGATGGACATATACTCCCATCTTTCTTGTAGAATCTGAGCAATTGTTAATTATAAAAGGAGAAAAGCATGTCATCTGATTCACATATTTCTTTCTTTCCATTTTTTATTCTATATATATAGTCACGTGTGACCAAAACCATCATTTGCAATATATCTGTGATTGATATTGGAAAATCAACATATTCTCTTTGTCTTCCCATCATAATATTATGTTCCCTGCAACTACAAGAGAATCAACACTTACGTAAATTTGTTCTGAAGAACAGCTGCTGCAATATACTCCTGCTAGAAACCTTTGAGAATATAGGAACCAAATGAAAAAGATAGCGCACAATTTTGCCTTACCTTAATAATGATCAGATGATGACCTAGAAGGTTTACACCTCATGCCAATGTGCTGGTACAAACCAATACCTATAATTTAATACATATGCCTAATCAGTATATGGATTAAGAAAATGATCTTTTTATATTCTCTTTTCCTAATGTGTTTTTCAGGAAAGCCTCATGCTTATTGAGTTAAAACAGAAATGCCTGAATCTTGTTCCTCAACCAGAGATCTATCTTTGTCATTTAGACCGGCATGGTGTAATCCAATGCCAAACTGCAAGGTGTGCCTCAGGTTAAAGAACCATCTGCTCGGCTTCTTCTGGTATACTAAGAAACTGCCTTGGATGTTCATCTGACGTTGCCAACTTCAATAACAGAAAAGCACACAAAAAATCGAATCAACGCAGCAACCGAAACCGAAGAAAAAAAAATCCAAGCTTGAGTTGAGAGAGAGGCTCAAGACCGAGTATTTGAATTTTGAAGATTGGACTGCGAGTGCAAGCTTCGTCCGTCTTCATCTGGAAAAAAAAAGAAAAGAAGGGACGCTCAGACCCGCCCAGGCCGCCTAGATCCGCCTAGGCGCCACCTAGATCCGCCCAGGCCACCTAGACGCCGCCTAGATCCGCCCAGGCCACCTAGACGCCGCCTAACTACTTATAGCATCAGAGTTGTTATCTTAGTGGAGATTTCAATAGCTGAACGACATTTGATGGTTTTCATAGAGAGTGTCCAATCCAATCCAATCAACGCAGCAGCCGAAACGAAAGAAAAAATTTCGAAGAGTTAGTTGAGAGAGAGAGAGAGAGAGAGAGAGAGAGAGAGAGAGAGAGGCTCAATACTCAGTCTTTGAAGCTTAGAAGTGCTTACAGAGAAACGAAATGGCTGTGATTATGAGTGCAAGCTTCGTGTTTGTTTGGAAATATATTTAAAGCGTATAGCCGCGCGGCTATATATTTAAAATATTCCAATATACCGTAGAGCCGAGCGGCTATACCTTTAAAATAATATATTTAACCCGTATAGCCGCCCGGCTATACTCTTCGAATATACAATTTTGTCATGTTATTTTAGGGTTTAGGGCTAGAATACCTCTTTAGCTAATTAGGATAGAGATATTTCTTCAATTATTTTATTTATACAAGTGATATTGAGGAATGAGATTTTAAATTCTTTTCGATACCTCCCATTCTAATGATTTCCAACTATTAGTCCATTAGGCAAGAATAAAAATATTGTATAGTGGCCAATTAATATCTACTTCGGATATATTTAAACTATCAAATTAATATCTATAAAGTACAAACTAGTGCAACTTGGAGGGTCCTTTTTTCTTTTATTTATTTCTTAAATAGTGTAGCCCTTTTAAATATAGTGTATTTATGTAGTATAGCCGTGCGGCTGTACTATGTTTTTCTTTTTTAAAAATAGTATAGCCAGGCGGCTATACGGTTTTTTTTGGACACATGGCTCCTAATCGCTGGAGGGTCCTTTTGAAAAATAGCATAGCCGCGCGGCTTCTCATTGTAGCTTTCTCCTCAACCTTTCAAAATGTTGCAATTGTGATCAGTCATAAAAGTTAAGAACTTATTACAATAATTACATCATACGATTTTCCTTGAAGGTTGACTTATTATGATTATATTCTAATTAATCAGGGCTCTTGGCACTGATGATGTTTCCATAAAAATTACCCACTGTGGAGTTTGCTATGCTGATGTAATTTGGACCAGAAACCAACATGGAGACTCCATTGATATGGATATGAAACTTTCTTGGACTGATTTAAAATCGGGATCACTGCTTCCAGTTTTAATGGGTTGGGTTTTTAGTGGAATTCACAATCAGTTTACCAATTCTAAGAAGGCATGACGCCTTACTTTTTCCAGGGTTTAACTTACTTGATGATGCAACTATAAAGAACCATTTTTGGGGCATTTTTATTAGTGGAAATTATTTTTAGTGTAAGTGAGGTGTTCTTCCAGATTTTGGCTCAAAGACAAACATTTAAAAACTGAAGATTGTGCAAATGAAAGATTTGCCATCACATTTCTCACTTTAAAAACCCAAAATAATCCCAGAATTCCACAATTTATGTTTGGCAATAGAAACCCAAAATATAGTAAAACTTACTCATCAAAATTTCCATCCAAGATGAAAAAAACAGAGTACAGATGAAAAACTCAAAATCAGAAAACAGACTCTGACAAGTACCAATCCCAAAAATCTAATCACTCCTCTTCAGCTATCGTCCTCTTCTCACTCATGTAAACCCCATTAAGAAACTTCCTAATATCCTTGTTCTTCACATGGCACTTCTGGTTTATGAGAGCAGCAGACCTCGACACCAACGCAGACCCGCCTAGACCCTCCCAGGCCGCCTAGGCGCCGCCTAGATCTGCCCAGACCGCCTAGGCGCCGCCTAGAACCGCCCAGACCGCCTAGGGGCCGCCTAGATCCGTCCATACCGCCTAACTACGAGTTCGAGTCTCTATCCATGGCTACCATGGCGTGCAATTTACCCATAGGCCCGCCCAGACCGCTTAACTACGAGTTCGAGTCTCTATCCGTGGCTACCATGGCGTGCAATTTACGTATGTTTCTGATTTTGCAATTTTTTTATTCGTTCAAATGGAAAAACGATTCTTCTAAGGATTTTAAGATTTTATAGTTGTTATCATAGTGGAGATTTCAATAGTTGAATGACATTCGATAGTATAGCCGAACGGCTATATTCTTTAAATATACAATTTTTTCATTTTATTTTAGGGTTTAGGGCTAAAATACCACTTTAGCTAATTAGGATAGAGATATTTCTTCAATTATTTTATTTATACCAGTGATATTGGGGAATGAGATTTTAAATTCTTTCCGACACCTCCCATTCTAATGATTTCCAGCTATTAGTCCATTAGGCAAGAATAAAAAATCGATTTGATTTATGAGAAATATTACGGGTTAGACCCATAAATACAACAACAAAAAATAGGGATCCACCAACATTTTGGGTATAATAGAATCTTGAATTTTATAGCATAAAATTGCTAGTGTAAGAATTTACTTTTTAAAATGTATCCATGGTAATTATGAACTAAACCCAATGACAACCTTTTTTCTCATTGTGCTTGACAATCTGCTCTTCTGCTTTGAGATACATCAATATAATCTTTGCACATGAAAAATTGGATACAAAACATTCTAATGAGACAACAAAGAGAAGAGTTTTGAAATAAATTGAAGGTATCTGAGGTCATATGGCATTGATATATATACGAAGTATTCTAGATGAGATTTCAAACAACGTGTTAGATGAGAAGTAGCATCTCATTCTTACATATACCATATCCACGTGCACCTGAAATTCCCAATGTTAAGAGGGGAGAAAAGTGCAATACCTCTCTTGTATCTCGCAAGAGTAGGAGATCCAACCTTTCATGAGGACGCTGGTTTGATAAAAAAAGCAAGCTGCATCCAATCATACATTAATACCGGCAAACTATCCATTGGCTTCGGCAGCCCCTCTACTTTGTGCTGGAATTACTGTTTATGCTTTGATGGTACGCCGTAAGATGAACCAACCTGGTAAATCTCTAGGGGTGATTGGCCTTGGTGGCCTAGGTCACATGGCAGTGAAGTTTGGCAAGGCATTTGGTTTGAATGTAACAATTTTCGGCACTAGCATATCCAAGAAAGAGGAAGCTTTAAGTCAGCTGGGTGCAGATAACTTTGTGGTCTCATCAGACAGAAATCAGATGAAGGTAAAAATGCATAAAGTTTCTTACCTCATCACATGAACAATAGAAAAAATAGTGGAAATGATGGCTATCCTATAGGTTTAGTATTTATCGGTTATTGTTTGCTATGTAGGCCCTGGTTAAGTCAGTAGACTTTATAATTGATATAGCATCTGGTGATCACCTTTTTGATCCATAGATGGAACTATTGAAACTGGTGGAGTTCTGGTCTTATGGTGGGATTCCCCATTGAAGTCAAAATCAGTCCTGCCAACCTTCATATCGGTACATTGGCATGTTTCAAATGATTGAAATGACAGTTTTATATATCCAACTGTTATTGCAATTGCAAGTATATATAATGAACTCCATGCATTGGCCTTTTGGCAGGTATGAAAACCTTTTCTGGTAGTGTAACAGGTGGAACAAAGGATATCCAAGAAATGATAGATTTCTGTGCTTCAAATGGAATTCATCCAATGATTGAAATAATTCCAATTCAATCTGCAAATGAAGCTATTGAGAGGCTACTAAAAAGTGTTGTGATATACGGGTTTGTGATTGATATTGAAAACTCCCTGAAATGACACCATGAAAGAGAACGAGGATTTCTCTTGTTGATTTGTATTAATAAGTTCATATGGATTGGATATTGTAGGGCTCAAACCATTATCAATTTGGCAATCATTTATAGTTAGGTGGTGTGCATTTACCTCTGTGAAATTTTATCTGGGATTGGTCTTCTGTATAATGTGTAAAAAGAAACTGAACTCTTATGATCATGTCCTTTCTCTAGTGACCGGATTTATGACTGAAATATTATTCTCCAGCACTTTAATGTCTTCAAGTAACCCTTTTCCATTCTCTGTCTGTTCAGCAACAAGATTGTCTTTCCTTCTTTCCCCACAGCACACAGTAAAGGCCCACGATAATGAGAAACGCTCCGATCAAGCTGCACACCACCACATACCCAAAATCCACATTAAATTTGTGACTAATTTTCATGACAAGCAAACTACCGTGATAGAATGGATAAGTGAAACCATCAAATGTGGAAGTAGTAAGATGGAATAGGAAGAAGGTGTGTCTGTGTTATTCAGGTTTACCTGCCAAAGTGAAGTCGCTCTGCGAAAGAAATTGCCGAGAACAATGCCACTATAATGACTTGAAGTGGACTAAACATAGCTGCAAAGACTGGTCCCTTGTAACTGACGCACCATGTTTGCAGGTAGCAGGCCAATGCTGAGATTACAACTCCCTATTGCAAAAGTAAGGAGTGGATGAAGACCAGAACTTGTGACAGATTCAAATATATCTTATAACAAGAAGGAGAAAAACACCCAATAAGACACAACAAAATAGGATGTCCCATTTATTTACTTTATACACACACACACACAAAAGACAATGTTCTCTTCTACATGTTCTGCTGTGAGGTTTTTAAATCGAATTACAGATTCGGATAAGAATTTGCATGATCAATTGTTGAAATCAACGTTGTGAACCTAATAATAAGATATGAGAAAGAGAACACTCACGCAGTAGGCGATGTTTTGAAAGTTGCAGGTTCCACTCCAGTCTCCATGAAATTGGATTTCTTGAAAAAACAGATCAAGAAAAGAAGATTGCAACGACGCGAAAAAGCATATCATCGTGGTTAGCAATAATCGAGCAGTGTAGACTTTGGGGACCACAGCCTGTGAGACCAGAGAGCCAAAGTTGGACAAAGAACTAAACTTGGACATTACATGACATAAAAGGGTGTCATCTTAATTCAATTATAAAATCACCTGGAGGATTAGCCATGCACTCCATGCAATGTGACTCGTCAGAATAAGAAGAACCCCCTTGATCCAGTTTTCCTTAACATGCCTCATCTCACCAACAGATATATTTATCAGTGGCCTCTTTACAAAACCTTTAAATAGGTATCCTCCTTTCCAGAAAGTGAAAACAAGAGAACCACCAATGCAGAAAAGTGTGCCAGCCACCTTAGCTTGACCTCTAGCAGTTCTAAACTTCAACTTCTCCAACCTGTGTAAGATCAAGCAAATTGCAGAACAGGAAAAAAGAACATTTATATTCCCCTTTCTAATTAAGCAAGGGAAGGGAAAGGACAGAGAATATACCCAAGTAGAACTGCCATTAGAAATGTCAAGCTGGGAATAACATTACTCAAGGCACATGCAACTGTTGGAGAAGTGTATGCTAAACCAGCATAGTACACATTCAGATGGATGGTGGTTCCAAACAAGGCAAGCACAAAAATTTTGGCAGCTACAGAAAATGAGAGTGAAGGCCTTTGTTTCCTGCTTTACAAATCCATTCAAGAATTTTATGAGGATGTTTGATCCACCATATATGAGCTGAACCAGTACCATTGCCAAGTAATAAGAGCATCCCTCCATTGATATGGATATGAAACTTTCTTGGACTAATTTAAAAATTGGGATCACTGCATCAAGCTTTAATGGGTTGGTTTTTTAGCGGAATTCACGATCAGTTTAGCAAACATTTAGCGGAATTCCTTGATGGTGCAACTATAAAGAACCATTTTTGAGGCATTTTTGTTAATGGAAATTATTTTAAGTTTTCTTCCCGATTTTGGCTCAAAGACAAACATTTAAAAACTGAAGATTGTGCAAATGAAAGATTTGCCATCACATTTCTCACTTTAAAAATCAATAACCAGCATAAAATAATCCCAGAATTCCACAATTTATGTCTGGCAGCATAAACCCAAAATATAGTAAAACACTAAAACTTACTCACCAAAATTTCCATACAAGATTTTTATAAGAAAAAAAAGAAGAGTACAGATGAAAAACTCAAAATCAAAATCAGAAAAAGCACTCTTAACAAGTACAAATCCCAAAAATCTAATCACTCCTCTTCTCACTCACATAAATCCCATCAAGAAACTTCCTAATATCCTTTCTTCACATGGCACTTCTGGTTTATGAGAGCAACAGACCTCAACACCAACGCAAACCCACCTTGGCTCCCAGACTCGCCTAGACCCGCGCAGGCCGCCTAGATCCGCCCAGACCGCCTAGGGGCCGCTAGATCCGCCTAGACCGCCTAGAGGTCGCCTAGATCCGCCCAGACCGCCTAGCTGCCGCCCAGATCCGCCCAGACCGCCTAGGGGCCGCCAGATCCGCCTAGACCGCCTAGAGGTCGCCTAGATCCGCCCAGACCGCCTAGCTGCCGCCTAGCTCCGCCCAGACCGCCTAGCTGCCGCCTAGCTCCGCCCAGACCGCCTAGGGGCCGCCTAGACCGCCTAGAGGTCGCCTAGATCCGCCCCGACCGCCTAGCTGCCGCCTAGCTCCGCCCAGACTGCCTAGGGGCCGCCTAGATCCGCCTGGACCGCCTAGGGGCCGCCTAGATCCGCATGGACCGCCTAGGGGCCGCCTGGCTTCTCCCAGACCGCCTAACTACGAGTTCGAGTCTCTCTCCGTTGCTACCATGGCGTCCAATTTACGTATGTTTCTGATTTTGCAATTTTGTTTTGTTTGTTTCAATGGAAAAACAATTATCAGAGAGTTTCTTCAAAGGATTTTATGATTTTATAGCATCAGAGTTGTTATCATAGTGGAGATTTCAATAGCTGAATGACATTTGATGGTTTTCGTAGAGAGAGTTCAATCCAATCCAATCAACGCAGCAACCGAAACGAAAGAAAAAAATCGATCCTTGAGTTGTTATCATAGTGTACCTCTAAAATAATATATTTTAAGAGTATAGCCGCGTGGGAATATCTTAAAAATATTCGAATATATTTTAATAGTATATCCGAACGGCTATACGCTTTAAATATACAATTGTCATATTATTTTAGGGTTTATAGCTAAAATACCAGTTCAGCTAATTGGGCTAGAGTTATTTCTTCAATTATTTTAGGCTTATTATTACAAAACGCCCTTAAGCTTTACGAAACTATCAGATTGCATCCTTATTATTACAAAACGTCCTTGTTGTTAGGTTCCGTCAAAAACTCCGTTAGTTTGTTGACGTGACATATATATATATATCACAAAACATTCATGAGGTTCACCTACCTATCATAAATGGTCCCTACGAAATTTTTTAATTTTTTATATTTAGAATTAATAAAATTTTGGTTTTCTTTTTAAAATTTTATGAATTTTTAAATTATTTAAAAATACATATTATATTTTAAATACATGTGACACTATATTATTGTAGATGTGGGCTCCATATATATGCCACATCAACAAACTAATGAAGTTTTAAAAAAATAATTTAAAATTCATAAAATTTAAAAATGAAAAAACTAAGGGTTTAGGGTTCATAAATGGTCCTCAAGATTAAAATCCTTCTATAAATGGTTTTTTCATTTATAAATAATTTTAAAAAGAAAACTAAAATTTTATGATTTTTATGATTTTTAAATGAAAAAATAAAAAAATTCGTAGGGACCATTTTGTGATAAGTGTGTGAACCTCATGGATGTTTTGTGATATATATGTATATATATATATATGCCACATCAGCAAACTAACGGAGTTTTTGATAGAACCTAACTGCATGGGCCATTTGTGATCGCACATACTAACCTTAAGGACCATGAGTGACACAAAAATGCAGATGCTGGTTTTTTTCCCTTTCCTCATAAAAACTTACTCCAGTTGTTATGATGATTAATTCAGGGGAGACTATTTGGGCTACTGTCGATAACATTGTGGATGGTGTGAGAGACTTGCTCATGTAGTTTTCTTTAAAGGAAGTGCAATTTCGACGTAGGGAGTGTAACAAGGTGGCTCATGCTATTGCCCATTTTGCTTTACACGAACAAGTCCTTATTATTGATTAGAGGAAGGCCTTGTGTGGCTAATGAATTCTATTACTGATGACCTTATTGTAACTAATGCTTCCGGTTAATGACATTTACTTCTTTTTTTTTCTTTTTTTTTAAAAGGAAAGGATAACATTTGTTACAATCAACCACCTGCTCTTTAAAAAGGTTGAGACTTCAAAAAAACTAAGAATATATGCATGCACCGATCACACATTTGCTAGTTATACACACATATTTTTCTAGTATTCCCTCTTTTGTGAATAGTGACTTGGAAATTTTCATCAGTTTTATAAATAAATAAAAATTCCCAACAGAGTCTAGCCCAATATAAAAGAGCCTTAACTTGCTGACTAGTGGTCTCAAGTTCGAATCTTCATAACACCTGAAAAGTGTGTGTGAGAAAACCCTCTCCCCTTCCTAACTTTTTTGGCAACAACAAGAAAATCATTATTTTTAAAATGGAAATTTTTTATTTTTTTTGGACGAAAAAATGGAAAAATTATTGAACTTAAGAAATGGCAAATCATGAAAATAGACGGAGCACTAGTACTAAAGAGTACAATATGTACGTTGAGAATTAATTAATTAGTTAGTTAATAGGGCATATAATTAAGTAATATATAGCCGCCAACGAGGAGTCAGTAACGGTTATAGGTAGAGAACATAAAATGAAAACCCTAGAAATAAAAGGGTGAGTGTGTGGTCGCTAGTAATTAGGAGATTAATTGGAGATGGTGGTTATAATATTTCTCCATGATCATTGAAACCACCTCCTTTATCTGCGCCAAAAGAAATGAAAACCCAACTGCCCACCTCCCCCCGCATCTCTCTCTCTCTCTCTTATAGTGAAGTGAGCAGCAGCCAGCACTACAGCAGGTGTTGTTATATATGTTTCAGTTGGTTAATTTGCATATATTTTGATAAGGTTAGTTTGTCACTAAGTCTACTGCAATTCAACAACCAACCAGGTCCCCAGACACAAGAATATCTAATTCTCTCTCAGGTATATCTCTCTCTCTCCCTCTCTCTCATGCATGCATGTCTTAAGGTTTTCCTCATCTTGTTTTACTTAATTACTTAACTAATTTTCATTTGGTAAGATCAATATCTGCTTCTTTCTCTCTTTTTGGTCTTTCATTTGTCTTAATTTCTCAAATCATGTCTGTTCTGCAGGGTTCTACTTATTAATTTCCATGGCTATGATAAGTAGTTTTTGCCCTGCAGATGACTGGGGCTCTCTTCAGTTTCTCAACCCAGATATGAATATGGTTAGCTTCCAAGCACAGCAAGAGCAGCTGGCAGCTGCTTCAGGCATCTTGGGTCTGCAGGACTATAGCTTACCTAACTTCCCAGACTACACTACTTGCATTGATCCACTCTTCGAAACCTACGAATCCTCCTCCTCTGAAAACTTTCTCCTCCCCGATTTCTATTTGCCAACAGAAAACATCAACTTATCCTCCTTCCAATCACCAGAAATCTTCCCTAGCCTTGATGAATATGGCTGCTCATATCAGCAGAACCCGAAACGCCAAAAGTTTGGTATGTGCAGTTTTTTCAATGCATATGATGATCAGTTTCTCCAGCCTCAACTTTTGGCTCCAACTCCAAGTCCTCAAACCCAGATTCAGCAGCAGCCTTCCTATGAATGTGCTAAGTTGAACAAGCCCAATGGTGGGGCAGTAACCCTGTCAGCGCAGAGCATTGCAGCGAGGGAGAGGAGGAGGAGGATAACAGAGAAGACTCAAGAGCTCGGAAGGCTCATTCCTGGTGCCACCAAGATGAACACTGCTGAAATGTTGCAAGCTGCTTACAAGTATGTCAAGTTCTTGCAGGCACAAGTTTCAGTTCTCAAGCTCATGACGGATTCCCCAGTTCATCAGGTACTAATAATTTCATCTGTACTGTGTACACCCACACAAAAGAAAAGTTCAATTTCTTCTTCTGTTTTCTATAGTGGTGATCTAGTTAATTAATTTAGATATTTGCTGAAATTTTCAAGCAGGAAAAGAGGGATCTGCAAGCTGTTGCATCCCCAGTTGTTCAAGAGAAGCTCTACTCTGAAGAGAAGTGCTTGGTTTCGAAAGAATTTGTTCAAGTCCTCGCAAATGATCATGACATCGAATCGAAACCCTTGCTCAAGGACAGTGTTGCTCAGTTGCTGCAAACCAATGGCTGATAACCAGCCAGATAATTCTAGTCGTTCAAGGCCCTGTTTGTTAATTTCTTAATCTGTTGTTCTTTTTGTTGTATTAATTAATTTCTAGCTAGTTAACCTTTTTTAGTAGGTGCTAATCTAACCAATTTCTTGTAAATCTCTAATTTTC